TTTTTTGCCTTGGTTTGAAAATTCGGGGGATTAGGGAGGGGAATTTCGGGGGACATAGCACGGCCCCTCCCTACAAATAGGGAGTCACTGTAGCAATTCCTATTTTAGGGAAGTGTTTAAGGGCTCTAATGGAAGGGTATAGGGAACCGCTAATCCCTTAAAATAGGTAAGGATGAAATTTAGGAGTTCTATTAGGGATGCTCTAACAAACTTCAAGTCAATTCTTCTTGATAACATGGATAACTTAGCATTAAGTTACCTGAAATTGCGGGAGTAATCACATCATCACCTATGACCATGCAAGCCCCCAATAACACCACAATAAGTAGGGTTGTCTGCAATTTTTTATTCTTTTCAAGAAATCTCTTCAGTGGTAAAGATGATGAACCCTGTCTTGAAGGACCATATCTATAAGCAGACAACTCCTCATCAGCTGCTTGTTGATTGGGAAGTAAACTAAGCTTTACATACCTACAAAGCAGCGAGTAAAGAGCAAATGTACCACCTGACAATAATTGAATTAGATTTCAGTAAAATATATCCAAACATAAGCCTTATCAATGAGCATTTTATTAAAAGAGTCAGTCACAACACACCTTCGCCATTATCATCGGCAGTCAAAACGATGAACACATATTTGAGCAAAGGAATTAACATTACGGTCCAACATATCAACAATAATACACCAAATATTGCATCATCATTCTGATATTTCTGCAACTTCCCTACGAATGTGCTTTTATAAACATAAAGAGGTGAAGTGCTCAAGTCACCATATACAACACCAAAGCTCTGGTATGCTAACATTAGATTCCTGGAGAGATTCACCCATGAAAACTGCAAGGCCACATGTAGTAAGTTTAGGCCTCGTTTGGGATACAGGTTATTTTAGAAACTTTTTGGCTTTTTACGAAAAGATGTGCAGAAAAGTAGAGAGAGTAATGTGACAACTTATAGTGACTTTTTGACTTTTTAACTAAAATCTATAGTTGACAAACGAGGCCCTAGTACAAGTTTAAACTAGTTGAGTCAATGCATTGTTCAAAGAACAAAATTTGTTCATGTTAAATATGATAAACCATAAATATCAGCAGCAAGATAGAACAGGCAAGTTAGGATTCAGTGACCAAAATGTCTTCGTTGATTTTTCCCGGGCTTTATATAGTGTCACGGTTGTGGATCAGGATCATTAGACATGCCATTTCTTATGTAAATTGTAAGCTTCCATGCCATTAGAACTTTGGCCTTGCTTGTATGTGTAGTAAGTAACGTTAGCTTGAATTAAATTGTTACTAGTTACTAAAGGAGTAATTGATTTTTGTTGCACCAGACGAGCACATTGTTTTCATAAATTCTCTCGGCTTATCCTCAATTCATGTTATTTCAAAATAACTTTCTTTCCTATCATATCTTTTTCTTATTTCACCACTCATTTCATAAACATGTCCGTATGAAGTACCGACACTTCAAATGGATGTTGTGTCTGTATCAAACATGTGCAGAACACCAACACGCTTGGGACACGCGTGTCAAACATGCCATACGGTATGTCAATTTTTCTAATTATCATTTTTTTTGGTAGGATATTTTTGTGACACTTCATCTTATAAATGTTACAAAATATATTTTGAGTAAACTTTGTATTTTTGAAGAATGCAAAACATAAAAAGATTCATCACACATGTCATGTTCGGAGGGTTCAAAAAGTGTCACCAAAGTATCTAAAACATGTATGTAAAGATTTCAAATTATAAATATGAATGTATAAGTACACTGTTAGACTTATTTATTTTGATGATTTATTTAATTATGTTTTAATTTATCTGAAAGAAAAACATAGAATCCAAAATTTATTTTGATGATTTATTTAACTCTATTTTAATTTATTTAAAAAAGAAAAATGGAATCCAGAATTTATTTTGATGATTTATTTAATTATATTTTAATTTATTTGAAAAAGAAAAATAGAATCCAAAATTTATTTTGATGATTTATTTAATTATGTTTTAAATCCAAAATTTATTTTGATGATTTATTTAATTATGTTTTAATTTATTTGAAAGAGAAAAATAGAATCAAAATTTATTTTGTCTCATTATTTCTCACCTAAACCTTTATCCTAAATGTTGTTAGAATGTATTTAATATTTGATTAAATCAGAAGTTCAAATAGCCCAAAACAGAGGTTCAAATAGCCCAGCACAGCAGCAGTTCAAAAGGTTCAAGTGGAAGATATTCAAATTTGTAATGATGGAGTGGAAGATATTCAAATTAGTAATGATAGAATGGAAGATATTCAAATTAGTAATGATGGAGTACAACGGCTATAAACGGCTATAAATTCAAATGAATATAACGGCTATAAATAGCTATAAATGGCTATAAGTTTCATTATATATACCAAAATCTCTAATGTAAACAAGTTATAAAAAAAAATATTCTTTGATCTATAATCACTCACATCTATTCTCTGAAAAATTCTCTGAGAAGTGTTCTTCAATTTTTGTTTACATTCTCTCTCAGAAATTATACACTGAGCCTTATAGCATTAAGCTCATCTTTCTTGTGTGAGATTTACAGAAAAACCAGAGCTTCATTTTTATATCTATTTTTGAGAGAAAACTATTGTAGTTTTCTGTGAAAGCAAAAACGCCTTCTTTTCAACCTTGTAAGAGTGTAGTACACTCAGTGTTCTTGACTTAGAAAGTCTGTGTAAAATCTGTGGAGGATTGCTCCATCTGTGAAAAGGTTACTAGCACTCTGTGAAGTTAGAAGATAGTGGAAAATCTCAAGTGAAGCTTGAGGAGTGGATGTAGGCTTGGTTGAAGCCGAACCACTATAAATCTGTTTGTCTCCTCTTCCCTAATCTCTTTACTTTCCTACTACTGCTATATCTATCTAATATTCATGTGCTAATCATTTGATTTACCCTATATGTTAGTTATACTTCATTGTTATTTTGCTTGATCATTTACTGCTAAGTTCATCATTGTGCTTGTTAATAATTTGTTGTAATAATAGTTAATTTTATTGGGGTATTATTAATTTCAATTTGTAGAAACCTAATTCACCCCCCTCTTAGGTTGCTTTTTGGGTAACAATTGGTATCAGAGCCTAGGGCTCTTGTTTAGATTTAACAATCTTGAGTTTTTGATCCATAGCAACCATGTATTCTACATACTCTATTGTAGGACAAGCTAACAATAAGTCACCTCTATTTGATGGTAGTAATTATATTCATTGGAAAGAAAAAATGACTTTGTATCTTCAAGCTACCAACTATGCTTTGTGGCTCATTATCACTAAAGGTTCCAAAATCCTTACCAAGATAGTAGACCATATCAGTGTGCCTAAACTTGAAAATGAATTTGATGAGCGTGATTATAAACTCCTTCAAGCTAATGCTAAAGTCAAGCTTATTCTTGTGTGTGGACTAGATGCAAATGAGTACAATAGAATTTCTGGGTGTATTACTGTTAAAGATATTTGGGATAAACTTGAAATCACCTATGAAGGAACTAGCCAAATAAAAGAGTCTCGGATTGACATGCTTATTCATGATTATGAACTTTTTACTATGGAATCATTTGAATCTATTTCTGAGATGTTTTATAAATTTACCAATATTATTAATGCTCTAAAATCTCTTGGTAAATCTTATACTAATGATGAGCTTGTAAGAAAAATACTTAGGTCTTTGCCAAATGAATGGAAAGCTAAGGTTACAGCTATCCAAGAAGCAAAAGACCTAACAAAATTAGGCATTGAAAAACTCATAGGCTCACTTATGGCTCATGAACTTTCAATGATGGATGGCAACAAAAAGGAAGCCATTTAGGGAGAAAATGATGGAGTAGCCAACCTGTGTCTCATAACTCTTGGAGAAGAAGAATCCACTCAAAATGATGTAATTTCTAATTATGTAGAACTTGAAAGTGCTTTCAATAAATTACATGACATATTTAGAAACGTTTGTGTTAAGAATTCTAAATTAAATAAATTAATTACTTCTCTTTCAAATGATGTGGGTGCTTTAAAAATGGAAAATGCTATTTTGATAAATGACTTTACGTCTATTGCCAATGAGAAAAACATTTTGAACAACAATGTTGAGGATTTAAACAAAACTCTTGAAAATTTTGTAAAAGGAAAAGAAAACCTTAACAAGCTTCTTGGAAATAAAAGATGTGTTTTTGACAAAGTAGGCATTGGTTTTGATCCTCCTAAACCTTTTATGAAATTAAATGTTCTTGAGACTAATCCCCATGGACCCAAGAAAGTATGGGTACCAAGAAAGAAATCAAGATATTTTGTAGGTGGAATCTCAAAGATCACCAAGGATTTCGAGACGAAATGCACAACAAGAGTGTTCAATCTAAAGAGCAAAATCAGCTCATACAAGAAGAAGAATGATGAAATAAAAATCACCAAGATGAACAATAGAGGTAATGTATGGGTGAAGATTCCAAAGAGGTAAATGAAGGTATAACTCCTAATACACCTTTAAGCTTAAAGTTCTTTATTCTTTAAGGTGTGATTTGTGTACAATAGGTTGTGTCTAATCATTACTTCCATGTAACCTAATTGTACTAAGTTTGCTAAGTCATGTTCTGCTAGTTTCTTTCAAACATTTATTGAACTCAAAAATGAGAATTATATTATTTTGATGAATGTCTATTAGAATATGAATGATTCATGTATTCATTAACATTTTATATCATGTCATCCATTGCTATGAAAAAGAAATAAGAAGTGATAAATTTTTTTGTGAACATACTTTTCACATCTTGTATATGACTTCATACTAATATGTTAATTCCTTTTTGAGTCATATCTTTGTAGAATCAATTTTGATGTCATAGCATGTTTTTGAGATGTATACTATCTATATTTTGAATTCTACATTTGTGATCTCAAGAATATGCTCAATATGAAAATTTCATACTTATATGTTTTACATTGGAATATTTGAATGAGTTGTTAAATTCCTTGATTATGATCCATCAACAATGTCTAAATGAAAAGAAGTATCATACGTTTGTAGAGACATTGCATCTATCCTATTGAATATCTTTTGAATATGGATTATATTGGCATACATCTCATGAAAATACTTTTGATTGATAAATTGTTGAATTAATTGTTTAGAACATTCATGTTGTGTCCCATATCGAGTAAAATGTTTTATCATACTTGAGCATGTAGATTGAATTGATGAAAATGCCTCTTGATAATGTTATGTGATTAAATGAGATTGTTACATCATTTCTTAATAAAACAAAGAGCATAAAACTATTTTCTTATACATATTATGCTATGTGTTACAACTTGAAAATTTTGAAAAATAGCATTCCAAACTCTTGTTTGATCATTGAATTATTTTTCACCTTTTTAGTTTGTGATAAGAAGTGATTTGTGTTGTATTTTTATTGAGTAATAGTCATTGTTCTATGAATGCTATATTTACACAAAATAGAAAAGGGTAGCACTAACTTAGAGGAAGAAATCATTTTGCTAACATACTTGTTAAACCCTTTTGAGATGAACTCCTCATCTAAGAAAATTGAAGATTGAAAAGCTTCCATCTCTTGAACCTAAGGTATGCCTCATATACACTCTTAAGCTTTTCAGGTAAAAATTCTATCTTATATCCATTGAGCTAATATTGTTATTACTTTGTGTGGGGATGTGGTTTGGAAATACTCTTTTGATCCTGGGGGACGCTCGTGATCCTCTGCTAGTCACTTGAAAAGGAATAAACACTCCGGTCGTGAGTGCCGGAATTAGCACTCCGACGGGCAAGTTAGTCTCTGCACCCAAGATTACTTGTATTATAAG